TTCCAAAATACTGGTTTCTTCGCCCAACCCCATGGGCAACTAAATTCATTGAAGGAAGTTTCTGGGCTGATTTCGTTGTGCGTCTGGTTATGAGAATGTAGAATGTATTGAATGTTCAGACAACTTCCAAAATACTGGTTTCTTCGCCCAACCCCATGGGCAACTAAATTCATTGAAGGAAGTTTCTGGGCTGATTTCGTTGTGCGTCTGGTTATGAGAATGTAGAATGTATTGAATGTTCAGACAACTTCCAAAATACTGGTTTCTTCGCCCAACCCCATGGGCAACTAAATTCATTGAAGGAAGTTTCTGGGCTGATTTCGTTCGTTATGCAAATGAATCAGTTGGCGTCAGCTGGAAAGAAGGAAGCCATGGATGCCTACAAAGAAGCGGAAGAAATTGAATATGAGGAACACCAATATCAGTATGCTCAACATCATGGGCGACAATCTATCCAGGTGGGGGTGGCTGTGGTTGAAGAACTCAAAGTCAAGGTTCACCCAGCTTACACGAAGGAAGAGTTGGAAGCGTATTTTGGAAACATATATAAGGAACCAACTTGTCCCAATAAAAATGCTGGTAGAATCATTCAGAATATGGATAACATTGAATTGAGTCACCGTGACATGCACTTGGAAAGTGACGGATGGTGTTGGACTCTTATGTTCAAAGAACCCAAAGCGTACGCTAGGTTAGGTAAATACCCGAAGGTGGGTGATGTTTTCGAGTTTGCACAGAAGCACAATTTGGATTTGGTAGCTGAGTTGGAATGGGTAGAAGTCAGGCGATGGAATATCAAGAGAGATTGGTTCACCCACGTACATGTGACAACTTTTCAAAGGGGAGCTACTAAAAGTAATATGTCGTCTTTTGTGTCACAACACTGGGGTAGAGAAGTTGGTGGTTTGTTAGGAAACGAGAGAACTCTGGCCATGGCACCGACTTTTATTAATAACACTGGTACCTTCGACTATGAGAGAAGTGATGGCAGAGTCGTAGAGTTGGCCCGCACTACATTTTACCAGGCGTACGATAAGTACGTAGCTCAGTATGGGATTAGGAAGAGCAACATTTTTGAAAGATACGCCCAACGCAACATTTGGAAAGAAGAAGGAGTTCCACAGTTCAAGTTACCAAGTGTCCATCCTACGTTGGAAGGACGTAAGAATCTATACATTGCTGGTGGAATGAGACGTTGGGGCAACTTAGCCGTGGGACAACATGTTAGGTTCCCATCTACTGTCGCAACTGAATCCATCCCGTTTGATGAAAATTTGGAGCTACCGCGTGGTCGCCTCTTTATTGCTGATGGTATGCGTAAGGAATATAGCCCACCCAGTGAAGAAGACCACTCTCGTAGTGCTTGGTCGTCTTGGACCATGGTAGAGTCTGATCCGGATTATTATAACAAGCTCACTAATCAAAAGAAAGCGGAGGCCGTATATGGGTCATATCTCTGTGACACACATAACAGTAGAGGTGAGGCAAAAGCTAAGTCGTTTATCCCTACGCCTGGGTTTAAACCTAGAGCATATAATTGCTTTCCGTACAAGCGATCTGCATGCGGAAATCTTAAATTGGACGACGATGTGTCCGAGGAGAGTGGCTATGAGAGTGATGTTTCGTATTTGCCGGTGAGGTCTAAGAGTGAGAAGAAAGCTCGTAAAGCTCTTTATAAGGAATACCGTTTTGGCGGCGTTAGTTACAGAGTTAAGCAGTATGGGAGAAAACCAAGAAAGAACGTTAGTAAAGCCCAACCCCATGGGCAACAAGATTCAAATAAGGTTTCTACCCTGAAGAAAGCGATCCCAAAGCAAGGCAGGTGTTGAAAAAGTGGAGAAGACGATGACGGAGAAACTGCCTGAAATGTCTGGAGTTCGTTGTGTAATCGATAAAGAAGACCCCTTTACTTTTGAGATATATAAGAACCTAGGTGAAGAACCTGTAGATTATTCAAGACACGTCCCACAATCTGTTTTGGATTATCGTTCCCACCTGGTGACCAGTCGTGAAGCGTTCTCCTTTGCTACCGAACCCAAGTACCTGTATACAAACAAAGAAGGAAAGAAAATCTATAAGGTTCGTGTAAACAAATATGCAGCTTTGAGCGTTCTCCCGGAGCAACATCCTTACCCATATGCCCAGTTGGAAGATAGTTGTGTACAATGGATACAAATCTACGTTGATGATTGTAGGAGACATTTGGATACTTGCAAACAAAGAGCAGATTACCTAGCTGGGGTCAAACAGAAACACGCGTGCGGACTTTGTATTTTGTCAATCCGATCTTTAGAACTGTATAAACAACGTGGAGATGGCAAGTATCATATTGATTGTGCCTCACGTAGACTATATCATGTCCCCACGTTCCAAGGTGTTATAGACGCCGATGCTGCTAGTGGCAAAACTACTTTGATCCAAACTCACCTCAAGAATGGAGACAATAATAAAGTATAATTTTATTATTAGACAAATTTATCATTGATTTATTACATGTTTTTAATTATTATTTATTATTCTTGAGATTCTGAGAGCTATTGAATTTAAGAGCTAAGCTAAATTATTGATTTAAGCTAAGATACAAGCTATATTTATATAAGTTATTATTACTCAATTTTCAAATATTAAAGCTATTTTTGATTGATATTAAGATTATAAAAAGTGTTCACTTTTTGGTTACACATCACTTGCTTGCTCTAATGTTACATAAATTTTCCTATTAATATTAATTAAATTTGATTATATAGATCAATTAACAAATCTAAGAACCAATAATATCTAATATATAATTGTTCAATAAAATAATAACTATCTAAAAATAACTATCCAATAAAATATAAATATGAAATTAACCAATAGAATATCATCCAATTAAATTTATAATATGAATTAACCAATAAAATAAGAACTAAATATTCATATTATAACAATATTTTTAAATTATAAAATACTTATTCAACTAGTGGAAGTATAGAATTTATTTTTTTTAATACTCTTTTTCAATCATCTAGTATCCAACCCTCTCAAGTACACACAGTCACTATTATCGCACTTATACAATTCTTAATTAATTACTATAATTAGTTAATACTTTGTCTATCAATATAAAAATGATAACAATACTAATTTTAATTTAAAATTTTTTTGCAGATTATTTGATACTAAATATTTTAGTTTAAATTATTACTTGTTTCTCACAAATATCTAACTAATAAATATAGTTAAATCTCTTTATAATTCCCTGTTTATAATCACCAAATTTGCTTCTCTATTTACATATAAAAAATCTTTCTATAGTCACATCTTCTCTATAATCACCAAATTTTGCTTTTTGGAAGATAGTGATTATAAAGAGGTTTGACTATAAAAAGAATTATAATTAATGAATTAGAAGTAACTATAGATAAAAGTATAATTATAACTGAATCAAATAACTTAATTATGTTGAATTTTCTATCTCTAGAAATTCAAGCTAAACAATTATTAGCTTATATTATAAGAATTATTATATTAAAGAAAGATATTAAAAAAAAGCTATTCAATCTGTTCTAGTTATCTTATCTATCTCATATAATATTCTAGATAATTTAATTACTATTAAAATCAATATCATGTTTGGATAACTAATTCAAACTTCATTCAAACAATATCTTAAAATATCAAAAACTATAAGAAAATCTATATAACCAAAATGATTACTTAAAAAATAACTGAAATAGTTAAATAAAGGATCAAAATCACTTTAGTTAGTCTGGTATGAAGCAAAAGTTGGAATTGTCTTTATTAATTTAATTATTAATACTGGAATATTCAGTTATGTTATCAATATGATTTCTGAAATAATATGAAATCAAAATTCAACATCACAATTTCTGATATAAATAGTAAATTAAAATAATCTCAGTGCAATTGACAATTTTCTAATTACTATTGTCAGAATTATAATTTTTACTAAACAAAATCAAAGTCAAACTCAACCTGCATAGTGACATTATAACGGTAATAAAAATTTCTTATTTACGATATTGTATATAAACTTTTATTTGTGTGTATCGATAACAATACATAGTGATAGTTATAAACCAACAAAACAAACGAAACCAACCAAATAGAATAATCTAGAATCTAATACTATCGCTATAGAATTACATATTACGTATGGTTATTATTAGTAAATTAATCATTATCGTCTATATTTACAAAAACATACTACATTTACGTACGTATTAGCGTTAGCATTAGCTAACAAAAACGATTATCAATGCGAAAAAACTAAGTGTTTTTAAAAAGAAAAACTCAATAATGTACAAAAGAAACGAATTTTTATGTGTGATGGTGTGCATGTTAAAATTAATACTGTAATATAAAATACTTTTAAATGTCCAATTATAAATTCAAAAAGTCCAAATAATTGTAATTAGAAATACGAATATGATAACGCAAGCAGCAGTTGTTTTTCTTCGTCTGTTTGTATTATCGAAAAGTTTGTTGAATTTCTCCAAGTAGTCGATTCAGTGTTTGCGATTGTTGATTCGCGATCCGAATGGCAGTCGTTGCCGCAGCATATTATATTTTTCAATAACTATTAACGTTAAAAGCAAATCAATCAAAGAATCCGATGCACTCTCAAATTTTGTAATAATAATAATAAATTCTTACCTCAACAATTTTATCTCGCCCACTTTTACATTTTTTCACCACTCGTATTCTCATTGCCTCTTTTCGTACATATAAAGCCACTGATCCATCATTTCGCCATGCTATTACAATTTCATCATATGACTTTTTCAAGTCGTCTTCTGTTATTAGTTCAACCCATTTACTAGGAGAAAAATATGGTTTATATTTATTATAACTATAATAATTGTTCTTGATATTATTATTATTTATTGAGGTTGGCCATACAAATTTAACCGCATCTTCAATGTCAGGCCGTCGTTTTTTTTCTTGTGATGATGATGAAGATGATGACTTCTTGTCATTAATTTCTTTATCCTTTTGCAATATACTTTTATTATTACCATTGGTAATTTTTTCTGTACACGACCGAGAAAAAGAAGGTATCGATACTGCAGTTGTCTCATCAAATGTCTCGATATTATTATATTCTCCTTTCTCGTCTGCACCACTTTCTTCCCTTCTCCCTCTCTGAAAAAATATACTATTAAATAATCTTTTTTTAACCATTTTTTTTTTTACTTTTTCTATCAAAAAAAGGCTTAATAAAAGCTTTTTACACTAGAGCACAAACAAAAGAAGGGCTTAGACACAAACACGCACACAGTCTCGTAGATTTTGTGTGCGTGTGTTGTCTGTGTTGTCTGTGATAAAAGGGTTAAGGGGAGAAAAGGGGAAGCAAAGGGGAAAATCTCATTAAAGGTGATAGTATGGGTATTTATTATTTTTCCGAATATTCATTTTATCGTTATCGTTATTATTGTCTCTAAATTTGTAGATAGCCGAAAGTTCACGTGTATTATTACTATTATTGTCACATTAAGTGAAAAGCAATGTATTGAAGTATCAGTATGTATTGGATATCATGTTTTCTACGTACTCATGTTACACCATTAGCACATGGAATAGACTTTGTGTTTTATCTTATACAGTATCGGTATATACAACACGCTCTTACTAGTTTAATCCGTGCTAAATTAATTCGGAATTTTCGAACTTTTAATTTACCTTCTAAATGTCTTTTATATATATATATATATATATATATATATATAGGTGGATTACAATCCCTGGATTAAACTGTATTTATGTACGACGACTTGGATGAAATGGATCTATTACACAAGAACACAGCGCTTTATGTTCGTAATGAAAATCATCTGCACATACTATTACTTTCATTTAACATTCTGTGCACATGTACATGTGCATATATTTAATTGTATACACACCCCTTTTTGAATTACATGTACAAGAATTGAATTAATTTTTGGTGATCTTATTTCAGAAAGAGAACGAGGTTTCTAAAAAACATCACATTGAAAATGAAACGTTTAAAATGAATTAGCGTAATCCATCTTAATTTAATAAAACATCGAAACTTTCATCAACAATGTTTTCATGTGACAGTCATCATGTTTTGTTGATGATATTTAAAAAATTGATCGGTATAGAGATCAGATATGTATCTAGATATAATCATCTTTTAAAATTTTATGTAAAAATCCATCTTACTTTTTGAATTTATAAGCATGTTGAATTTAACTCCACTTTTGCCTAAAATTCATGGTACAGTCAACCCCTCTATACGTAGTCTCACTGTCGATCCCAATATATTTTTTTCATGAATGTGGCTATAACGGGGATTTTATAATGAATGTGCTTATCTGGTGCATAACATCTAAAGTCATCGAACACTTGTATTTTACAAAATGGATAAACAAAATTTAATCCGTGAATATGATAGAATAGAGCCTTTCTGAACATATTTACTTCTCAGTAAAGAAGTTTATCCGATTTATAAAATACAAGCGTTTGATGACTTTAGATGTTATGCACCATAGTGAGGTGCTTTTATTATAAATGGTTCTTGAAAAAAGGGCGACTATAGCGAGGTGTATGATGTTATGCACCGTATCTAACAAGATTTTTGTATTAATTGTTGCAGTATCTATTACGTAGTTAGGGTCAGGAAGGATATATCATAAATTTTACAAAAATGTCAATTTCTTCATGAATTTTTTAGCCAAAAGATCTACATAACTCTGGCCAAATTTTCACCATTATCTCCACATTAACGTTAATTGATAAATTTACTAATCTCATGCTATTTGCCAATTTATACTAGCGCTAGCAATAGATAATTTTGATTTTTAAGCGATCGTGTAACATAAGTTTTGTAAACGGTGTTGATCGACTGTTATTTTTCACTTGCTGCTCGGGGTAATTTTAATCGACTTTTTTTTCACAATTATCAAATAAATAACGGATATCGATATATAAACAATGCCAATTAGACCAACTAAAAGGAGAATCTATAATACTTCTACCAATTACAAAGAAAAATATAAAACGGTTATCAAAGAACACAAAGGAGATGAAGAAAAAAATTCTAAAAATAAAAAAGAAATCAAAGACGCATACGAATACGACGACGACGACGATGATAACATCGATAACACCATCGACAGTAACAACACAAAAAAGATCGGAGAAGATGACGACGAAAATTTGGTGGTAATTGTTGACGATGAGGATGACAACAACACGTTAAACAATCCTAATAGTAACGATGATAACTTGAATGAATGGTTAACTCATTTGATGGAGTCTCAAAGCAAATTTCAGGCCGTAGGTTCTAATCTTTTTTTATCGTAATTATTAACAGAAATCTATTTTTAATTTTAATCTAACTTAATTAAAGGTTGCAAATGCAGCATCACAAATTGCAGACGGGTTCGAGAAATTTGCAAATTCTATGGCTCTTCTTTGCAAAATGCCTTCCTCACACCACAATTTTATTATTCCTATGATGAATATCGTCAGGGGTAATTCAATAAATAATATTAATAATAATATTAGCAGTATTAACAACAACAACAACATCGCTACTGATAATACTATTAACTTGAACAATGAGCTTAATAATAATCACAACGATAAGACTGTTGACAACGATCAACGACAAAACGCAAATGTATACGAACAAGAAATCGAACCAAATCAATCTTTAGACGAACATAAACTTGGGGAACCATCCGAAGTTGAAAACTATTTCTCTTCGTATTCGTCATCATCAAAGAGACTTGAAAGCTCCTCGGAATTTATTTCTTCTCCTTCGTCCATCTCTTCCTATTCCATTGCATCCGACCACATGACGAAAAGAATTACGCGCCGAGCATCGAAAACGATCAATGATATCAGCGACACTAATGGCAGCGACAAAGAAGAAAAAGAATGGACTCTCAATGAACGAGCTTCTTTGACCCGAGAGCTCATTAAATGCTATCGACATCGAAGAAACCTCACTCAGGCACAACTGTGTGAAGAGATTATTTCATGCGCGGATCAAGATTTCGGGATAAAATTAAATAAAGTAATCTCGGCTTACTTGAACTTAAAATCGCTTCCTATTCGACCTTCGGTATTGGAAGCTACTAGACGGTGGGTCGATAAAGAGAATTTGAAAAGAAATGCAAGAAAAACGAGGAATAGAAAATCGATTCTGTGAAAAAGTGAATACTTTTTCGTTTTTACTTAAATGATGGCAATATTCTAAGAGAGATAAATATTAAAACTATGAACAGGAATAATTAAACGCGTACTTGTTCAGTATGGAATTTCAGCGAATTCTGCGCATACAAACGCGATTGCATATTGCAACTAGATTAGAAGAATGTTTACTGAAAATAATATAATTATCATAGTTTTTATTTCAAATAAATTTCACAAAACTTTTTGGATCGAAAGCTCTATCTAGAGTTCTTTAAAAGTTCAACACTAGCAATTAATATCTCAATGATAAAGCCAATAATGGCAAGAGATAGAAACGTGCTAGCGTTAGGATGATCTCAAAGCGCAATGGGCCGTACTGTAATAATGCCAACAAATTGACGTTAGAATGAAAATATTGATGAGTGCTTTTACATAAAAACCTGGAGGTTATTTATTAAACCAAATAGGTTACTACAATCACACCCCCGTTATTATAAGTTTGACGAATGTAATTCAACAAACAGAGGTAACTACATTTAACGCGCGTGAGTAAAAAAAAATAACCCAGAGGGTTGCATCAGTCGCTAAAAGCTTTAGCTCTCTACTCAGAACATATTACGTAAAAAACCAGTCATTGTATTAATTACTGGAAATTCTTATAATAGAATCTATTTGCAATCGTGCAGACTTAATTTAATAGAAAACGAACGTGCAAGTTTTTGCTAGCCCATAACGATAATAACCAGTCAAAATTGGGCCAAATCTAATACCGATACTGGTTAGTCGTATTTCAAGAGGTAATTTAAGATCATAAATGATAGTGATAGATATATACAATCGAATTTCGGAGTTCAATCAAATTCCAATCTTTAGACTATGTCATTTGCAAACTAGAATGCCCACATAAGTTCGATACTTGAGATACAACCTTCCTGGGGACAGCTTTAGTGCACTGTCTTTATTTCATTATTTAGCATGAATTTACCATTTTCGAATGTATACTTTTTAACGTTAAAACAATTAAATTTATGTTTGACTAAGTTAAGTGGCAAATTTGGCAATTTTTTGTCATTTAAATCACGTGAGTTATATTTGGCTGTAATTTAAAATTGTTTATGATGTGCAGCGACTTGGAACGAGCCAATATTAAGAATCTGAATTACTTTACTGATTTCTTAGTTCCTTATATATTTTGAATTTATATCTACTTAATTTTTGAGCTCGGATACTTTATTTTACTAAGTTCATGCAAACCAATCAAATTAACTAACCAACTACATGCCGAATATCATAAATCAATAAGAATTTTTGTTTGATTCAAGATAATATATAGGATTCCCGAAAAAACCAGATACAGAAAGGTGTGAAAAAATACGGAAGCAATTTTACGGTCTCCAGTGAAATTTCTATGTATTATTTAATAATACATTAAATAATAATAGTGTATTATAAAAAAACTTAATATTATTCTATGTGTATAACTTTACAATATTTATGGGACTGTATCACTGTTCCTTATCAATACACCCCTTCCTCGATGAAAAATACCAGCAGCCAACCCCCGTCTCACGAAAACAAATGCTCCTCATTTCCTGTGAAAGTAATGGGGCACAACTTTTCGACATAGTCTCCTCTTAAAACAGGTTGAAGTGAAAAAATACAAAATATGTTTGTATATTGCTAGCCTAGTGGTATTAATGAAATTTTGATTATAAACAGAACTTGTTATGCTCTCTTTCCGTGTCAATGCAAGTTCGAATATAATTAAATGTTCTAAAAATTTTGTAACTTGAACGTTTTTAACTAAAAAAAAAAAAAAACTAAAATTCGCAATAAATATTACCCTGATTAAAATGAAATTACTACCAAAATGTTCGTCTTAGTGAGGCGAATATATAAGAGCAAAATTACAAAAATCTGATCACTGATAATCGAGAAAATAACTTTTGAAATTTTATAAACCTGCAATCGGGGAAACGACTTGCCGTGATGTGCTACTATTAGATTTCCGCAAATTCATCACATTTTTATTTTCAATTTTATTAACTTGCTAGAAATCCGGTATTATTATTTATATATTTTGCTTCTAGAAATTTGTTATTATTGTTAATATATTTTGCTTCTATAAAAAATGTTAGTATTGTAGTAAAATTTATATAACAATCTCATCGCCATTACTTTTGCCGGTAACTGTATAATTAATGCCTTGATAGTTCAATTAGGTAATTTTATCCAGCTCACCCACGACCGATTTTCTCTTCACGTGATTTTATGATCCATCCATAACAATTAGCCGAAACATTCCGCACTATTAAAGGTTAGGGTTAGAATTGAGTAAGATTATATGTAAAATTGTCTTCCCATCATTTTTTATTAGTGATGCAAATTAGATTTTGGCATCTATTTCCCGTATTTTTTACATTGTTCATTTTTTTGTGCGGATTTGTTTTGTCGGGTTAATCAAAAATTTGCTCATCCTCATTAGTTTCGAGATCGTCAGGGATCGAAAATGTCACATGAAGGGAAAATCGATCGTGGGTGAACTGGATTCGGTATATTTCGGAGCCGTGATCTTACCGAGATGTTCGGTAACGGTTCGGTAATTTCGGTAATTGCGATATTGATAGAACGTAAAATCGACCATAATATCAAGTTTCAACACACTAAATGCTTATAATCAAAAATATTTTTAGGTTCCATCCATTCTACGTATATACAAAAATATGAAAAACAGATATCTAAATCTAGCTTGGAGCACGAATAAAAATTTTCAGGGAGATAATTTTACATATAACCTTGACTCTGCTCTAATCTTTAACCCTAACCCTGACATTATAACCAACATACAGTTAAAGTTCGATAAACCGAAGGCCTCAGGTTATTCAAAAATAAACTTCGCTTAACGTTATAAAGTACTATTTATATTATTCTTCGTTTTATCAAGCTCTTTGTTAATAGGTTGGTTCCTGAAAATTCTTCGTTTTAACGCGAGTTCACTTTATCGAGGGTTCGCTTTATTGAACTTTAACTATATATATAAATTTCACAATGATCCGCGACATTAACTAACTATAAAAAATGAGGTCCCGATTTTTAGATGTGGAGACTAAACATTTTCTTTTTAGATTGTTTAAATATCATTTGATTTCCACGCGTTATAATTACCAAATTACGAAATTTTATTTACATTAATTATTAACTTTACGAAGAAATCAATTGTATTTTTGGTCAATAAATTAGCGACGCGATCGAAATCTGTAATGGATATATGCGCAATGAATAATTTAACCGTTGGGCCAATAGGCATTAAGTAATCAGAAAGTCCCGTGAATAAGCAACCCTCCTAAAAAACCGATCCAAAATTGATGACGTAGGGGGTTGCTTATTCACGGGACTTTACGGTAAGTGATTTATTTACGTTTTACGCAATAACTCATGAAGCAACGTGCAAAATTTTATATATACGTCGAATAGAATCTAAAAAATATTTTTGATTATTAGCATTTAGTGTGTTAAACTTGATATTATGGTCGATTTTACGTTCAAAATACACGAATTATATTACTTGCATTTTCCTCATCTTCCTGTCATAATTCTCTTTAAAATTTCATTATTACTCATTATAAGTTAAAAATATGAAAAATCAAAGTTTGAAATCAACATTTTGGTATCGATCGATTTACTGACCGATCAGTAACGGTTTTTTACCGAATCGTTCGGAGCACTAATAAATTTTCTACAAATTTGTCATTATCTTAATAAAACATAAATTATTGGCAACTTCAAAGTCTAATAACTTTTAAACAAATTAAAGCATACATGCTAACTGCAAGGAATGGACATACAAAGCTAAATAAGGAAATAAAGTCGATAGCGATAGAGTTTATCAAGTATATAGATGTAGGATTGTCAGCTTGCCTTTTCTGGATTTAAATCCAGGGCATATGTAGTCATTTTCGTTATACTTAAAATTTGTTCTTTTTCTCGAGATGGCTTTTTTTAATGAATTCACCTATATTTAAGTCGTTAAACTTCTGTATCTATCAGCGCAACATTACCCTGTCTATCATCCTTACTTAACTCCTTTGGTATAATTGATTTTTATAAGTTTTTGTCCAACAGTTCCTATTATGCAATATCAACCATAATTCCATGTATAATCATTATCTATATCTATATGCTTAAGGTAATCCTGCCTATTTACATGCACTTTTTGTTAGTATATATATATATTTATATAATTAATATATTTTTGTAAAACTTTGCACATTAAATTCATAGTTCATTTTGTACTTTATTATAAAAAAAAATAAAATAGGAAAGTTTATAAATTTAGTGATGATGCTGTCTTATTTATAATCTTTTTCATTATATACTTAATAATTAAATTTGTGTTTTTTTCATTGATATATTTTATAGGGTTGTTTCTTACAATTTTGTGTTCATAGTTTTGATAGTATGTTATTAAATAAAATGTTAAAACTTAAAAAATAATATCAAATTTTATTTATATATAAATTATTATTGAAAAAATATAAATATACTTAAATTCTATTCTGAACATATTTACTTAATGGCCTAAACTAGAATTTTATAATAAAATTTTGAGATATTAAGTTCACATGCACGGAAATAGGCAGGTGTATCTTATATATGACAAACTATAAATTATAAATAATAACTACCGTAAACTTCCGAATATAAGAAACCCTTTTTTGGACCCTATATAAGCAATTCCCATCTGTAAGCAGCTCTCTCAAAATTTAATAATTACTGATAAGTTCATATATAACCTCATATTTAAGTTATTTGACGTTCCACGGATAAGCAATCCTTCAAAATAGGGTCCAAAAAAGGGTTGCTTATACTCGGAAGTTTATGACAAAAAAAAATAAGAAACCATTTTATTATTAATATATTAACTTTATAAAGAAAGAACAAAAGAAACTTGTCAAGAATGCAAAAAAATAAATGCAACTATATGAGCAAGTACGTACTCGTTGCATATGGCGGCGGCCAATAGAAATGAGGGATCTGCACATAAAATACGATCTTGAGATGATTATGATTTAGTTCGGAAATAATATAACGATGGTGTTATTTATACAAAACTTTTGCTTTTGAAGTTATTAATATTTTTGGCCTAATGAAAAATTGTATGACGTATATTAGACAAATCATTTTGCAGATCCATATGTAAAGTATATCAGTGGGACAAGTTAAATGGACATAATAGTGTTGTCAAATAGCGGTAGGGAAAGTTCAAAATTTTCCCGTTCGACTAATCAAATCGCAAGATCATTGTGTAACGCGAAAATTCAATACATTTAAACTCATCAATAGATCAATAGATGAATTAAATAAGTAACTACACAAGTTAATCCGTGAATATACTCAAAAAGGCCTATTCACAGATTAAATTTGTATTTACGTACTTGGTAAAGAAGTTTATTGAATTTATAAAATACAATCTATTGATGAGTTTAGATGTTATGCACCATAGAAATTAATGGTCGAGCAGGGAAATTTTGGTGAGTTGTGTGATTCTACAAATTACCAAGTACAGAACTGTGAGTTTCACAAGATAATTATGAATTAATACTAAGATTTGAAGTAAATTTCATGCCAATAGTCATCTCGTTGTAGTTATTATCATCATCCTCAAGGACTCAAATGCGTAGTTCCAGTACCTCCGTCTTAGCATTCTTGAGGCTTGTCAAGTGATTCCTAACTCTCTTATTTCTCCATATGACGAAATCCAAGCATCAAGGTGTTCGTGCTTATTGGAAGCGAAAGTGGCACGACAAATTTCCTTCGTCTATTTTCTTTTTCAATTTTTGGGGTAGTATCTTTGTTGCATTTTACTAGAAAGAAAAACAAAAAACTTTCAGAATTTTAAATAATGGTTAGTGGCTATATATACTTGAGTTTTTCAGCAAGTTTTATTGGTTAGGAATTAGTTATAAAGTAGACATGGGTATTATGACGCACTACCTAAAATGACGCATTACTAATAATTTACATAATAAGCTATTAGTAATGCATCATAATTTAAACCGCGTCATAATACTCATCTACATTAAATATACATGTATATTAACGTTAATATAATAACAATACGTAGTTATTACACATACCTCTGGACATATCGATATATGTATATATTAGAGGTTAATACATATTGATATTGCTAAAATATCGCTTAATGCAAATTCCACTAACCTATTTGTGATATCGTTAACGTCATTGACTCAAAAAAGATTTGTGCAACTCGTTTTTCACTTATCAGACACGAGTTTTTCTATCCAATTCAAGAACAGTAAGAAATCCAATCAAAATTTTTTATTTATTGGAATACAATTAACCTGAATAACTGCTATTTATTCCCAATTAATCTTTGCTGCAAGAAATGGAAAATGAATTTGCTGAGTCGCAGCCACACAATCCTTTATTGTTACCACCTTCACTTACGATTAGCAGCATAACTACGACTGTCACTATCCCTTCAACGCCAACACAACGACTTCAGTTATCATCGCCTTCTTCCGCATGTATCGACGATGCTAATAGTAATGACGGGAAAGATATAATGTTATATCTTAATAATAGTCACCAACCGGAAACAATTCAAAACACGAAAGAGAAGGCGGATAATGAAAATAATATTGAAAATTCTGAGAATGAGAATGAGGATGATAATGAAAATAATAACGAGAAAAACCATCAGAATTACGAGGAGAATAACGAAGAAAATGGTGTGCAAATAAGAGAATTGGAAGCTGATCAAGAATTAGTTGACGTGGAAAATCTATCAAATACTAAAATGGAGTTAGCAGAATTACTGGAGGCGGAGAACAAATTTCAAGCTGTAAGTAATCTTTTGTTACTTTGATTGCTAAACTATCTATATAATTAAACAAGATTTTTTATGAAATACTACTAGCTTGCAGACGCTGCTACGGAAATTGCTGAAGGTTTTGGAAAATACGCAACAGCAATGGAAAAAATTCACAATATCGATTCGTTTGATTATGATATTTTGCCCCAAGTTTTCCAATTAAATATCTCAGAAAAAACCTCTACCTCGTCATCGTCATCACTAAAAAAGATCCGCAATCGAAAACGTCAGAGACACAATTTCTCATCGGATGAATCCGATTCCTCAGAATCATCATCTCAATCTCGATCACCGGATAAAACCTCAGATTCGGCATCTGAGTCCTCATCCTCCGATTCTTCCTCCTCGGAAAAAGAAATACGTGAATGGACTCTGGAGGAAAGGAAGAAACTAAACGATCTTATGATTCGGTTTTATAAACGTAGAAATAGATATTCACCACCATTCTCACAAGTACGCATGGCAAAAGAGATTATAGAAATATCGAAAAAAGATATCGGGATAAAATTGGAAAAACTCATTAATAGCTATTTGACTTGCAAAGTGATTCCTAGTAGACCGCGATTATTGGAAGCTATAGAATTGTGGGTTGAACGAGAGCAACGAAGAATGAAGAGAAGTAGAAAAATGCTGCGAAATAATAAAGATATTGTTAGTGCTCTTCGGAAAAGTGGAGCTCTATAATTCTAGTTTCAAATTATTTGACATCATCATTAATATCAAGTACATAAACTATTCGGTCACTGCTTTATTCGTTGTATGATTTCTAAAAACCGAATATCGATATGCTAAAGTATGGCAATTTTCATCAATAACTGTATGTAGCGGTATATATAGAAGTTTTTTCAATGGATTATTGTAATGGTAACACCGCAGCCAGCTAAATAAAGGAAATGCAAGAATTTATAATTGGAAATTCGCACAACGTTTCATTTACATTACACACACATACGCACATATTTTTTGTCTCCTTGTTAATCATCAGCAATCAATCAAGTAAATATAAATAACTAAATAAAATAAAATAACATATTCTCGAAGAACCAATAATGATGATTGAAACATTAGAAAATCAATTAAATCAAGATATTGCTCGACTTTATCAAGAAGCAGATGATTACAACGTAAAAATAACGGTCGGAGAGGAACCAAATGAACAAACTTTTTTTGCACATTCCGTTATACTACGTGCAAGGTCTCCGTTTTTTCGTGCAGCCTTATCACATAAATGGCGAAATACGCAAGATTCCGAAGATAAAATCACATTATCTAAACCAAATATTCACCCAAAAATATTTAGAATTATTTTAAAGTGAGTAAATTATATATTTGTTTCATTCTATTTGATTTTTTTCATAAATAATTAACAAATTTTTCACTCTTCCGCTACCCTTATAACAAATAAATAATAAAAAGATATTTGTACACAGGCACGATAATATTTTATCAAAAAAATAATGATTATACATCATTATTGATTGCTGCGGATGAGCTTGCATTAACATCACTTGTCGACTACGTTCAGGATCACATAATAAACGAGGATATAAAATGGTTACAAAAGCAACTTGTGCAAGTATTCCAACTTTGTTCGCGGTATGAAACGTTCTCAAAGCTTCGGGAATATTGTGTGCAAACAATTTCTGGGAATCCAACAAGTTTCTTTAAGTCGCCGCATTTTTTGAATCTTGAGGAGAGTGCACTGATTGATTTGTTGAAACGAAGTGATTTGGCCATGGAAGAAATTGATGTATGGGATGAAGTAATTCGATGGGGGATAGCACAACAGCCGAATCTAATCAATTCGGATGTTAGTCAATGGACAAGCGCCCAATTTATGCAGCTAAAGAAAACAGTAAGAGAGTGTATTCCACACATAAGGTTTCTACAAATAGTGCCGACGGATTATCACAGCAAAATCATTCCATTCGCCGAAATACTACCCGATGAATTAAAACGAAAATTAACCGACCATTTCGAGACTAACAGAACTTCGCCGCCACCTGCATCTCCCGCTTCACCTGGTAGTAAACTAGTCGTCGCATCACCCTCATCTTCTACGAGTACCTTGATAGATTCAACGATAATTAATAGAAAACATTCAGCCTTAATATCACATTGGATTGATGGTAAGGAAGGTGAACCGGATTCTTATCGATATTGTTATCATGACTTCAAACTTTTATATCGGGGAACACGAGATGGATTCGACGTGCGAGAATTTCACGCGAGATGTGACCGACACGGACCAACCGTTGTCGTCATCAAAGTTGCTGACACGGATGACATCATTGGTGGATATAATCCATGTTCTTGGAGTTCATCCGGGTACTACAAAAATACCACTCGCAGTTTTATCTTTTCATTGGGTGCTGGATTAAACACAAAAGATGCAATATTGAGTCGTGTTGTTGTACGACAAAGTTCATTTGCGATTTGTGATTACGGAGTGGGAAATTTGGAAGATTCTGTTGGGTTTGGTGCTGGTGATCTTCCTTTGTTCGGCTTCAAATCGAAACGAACGTCTTATCAGAGGCAAGTAATTTCATCACAATCGTTTAGTATCGCCGAATTCGAAGTTTTCCAAGTCATTAGACGAATTGATAATTCTCCTTGAGTATTATACAACACATATACATAATAATGCTAATACTAACAAGATAAAAATTACAATAACATAAAGATCATTAGTAGAAAGAGAAAAAAGAATTCTAGAATCTTTCTTTCTTTTTTCCCCACACTCTTAAAAAATAAGAAAATATTCATGGTACTTAGAGGTTACCTCATTGATTTACTAGTGAATTATTCTATTTTTGTATAATTCTAGTAAAATTACAATGAACACAGTAACCAAAAGACTGAAATAAAGTGCATGATTCTCGTCTCCAGACATATGGATTCATTCCAATCGTTATTTATAGTCCACGAAAGCAATTCTTGAGATAAAGTTTAAAATAGTATTTTTGAAATTGTATGTCAACTGTAGCCGTTGTTAAATTCCAAACTGTGTAATTTTTTATAAAAAATTACAATGCAATTAATAATTGTATAATATATGAACCAACTATAAAAAAACCATATTAATATTAATATATGGGTATTAGAAAAAAAGGACAATTTGATCATTTTATGAATTAAATTATATTATACATGTATTCATTTACAATATGCGTTCTACGTATATGAATAAAAACTCATTTAATCGAATACACACAATGAAGTTTATTTTAAAGTCAATAAAACTTTTATATTTTCAGAATAAATTCATCAAAATCATATACATGCTGTATTTGTAAAACAACTGTTACAAATGTAGTAATTTATCACAAAAAATTTCAAAAAACAGAATATACTTGAACTTTTGCATAACCATTTTCAATATCTGAAATGAGCTCATATTTGTGTGTAAACATGACTTTTTAGCTTCATCGCAAGGTAAAGATAAAACCTAATAGTGGCATACACCTGATGAATGAAATGCAACACTAAGGGTGCTGACATATATTATTTGATAGAGGTGCCTCCTCCCCCACCCCCAGGTAAGGTTTTTTACCCAATCAAAATGCTTAATTTGTTCTACTTCAGATCAAGCTCTACCCCCACCCTTAACATATTAGCTAACAAAGAATGCATAACGATAAAACAAATATAAAGCTATTGCTGTCGAAGTGATATATACATAATGGAAGAAATTGAAATAAGTTAAAATGGATCGAGATTGACATTTCACGTGAATAATCAAGATTCAAAAATGCAATTTTCTTGTATATACGATAACGATAATGCAAAAAGATTACAGTCATCGTTCAAATTGCTATATATATACCGCCGCTTAACCAAAGATCAAGACTATATCAAAATTGACTTTATTTAAATTTAGCTACGTAGTCTGATTCGTGGCTCACAAAAGAAACGGAACACTTAAAAATACTTTCTAGAGTTTTTGTCTATCTAAACAAGTACATGTATTTGAAACCTCTAGTATTTCATTTTTGTGAAATTGAAAAACCTAAATTAAATGTGCTGATTTATTTGAAAATTGGTATCGTAATTAGTAATTAGTAATACAAATCAAGTTTTTGTCTTAGAAAATAGTTTGATTTAAATCCTTTCAATTTCACAAAAATGGCTAAACTAAGAAATACTAGAGGTTTTGAGGTTTAACATGAATACTTGTTTATTTTGTTTGACAGAAATAAAGATTCTAGAAACTTTATTGAGTGTTCCATTTCTTTTGTCCGCCATATCAATCTATAACTGAAAGCAATGTAATGCACTATCCCGATGCTGATTTTGATTTGAAATATAAAATTCGGATTAGTGTTAATTCAAAGTTGATATGAAAAATAATAATATTTTATTTATATTCGAAAACAGCGTGATAACGCAAAACCGCAAAGGTAATGTCACGCGTGAAAGAGCAATCGAATATTTGTCCTGTCTGATCCGTCGTCCAACGAATCTTATGGAAACTATAAGTTACAGATAATTTGAATCATAGTAATAGGAATTTTTTGATTAAAGAATGTATTGAAAAACAGTTACGTGTGACATGAATAGAAAATTCCCACAAAAGAAACTTATATTGCATGTGCCTTCGCTTTAAACCAGTAAATCTGCTTGGAGTTATTAGATTATTGGATGTAACGTAGCGTTTTTATTAATATATTCAAAACATGGTAGAGAGACATCCTTTATATGGAAAGTATTATTTGTTCATACGGATTTTCAGACTTAAGAAATGATGATTTAAAAATCCCTGATTGCTGAAACTCGATAATTACGTCTTATCTTTGAAAATATGTTCCTTAAACTAGACACACTTATGGCTCTTGATCTATTGTGACATTATCGGAGAATACGATCGTTCTGTCGCGATCTCTCGTTAAAGAATCAGCTGAGAATTCCATAAAACGTGCCGAAAACAAGAATCAGAAACAATATCGAATTGCCAATGTCTTCAAGCACATAAATTGTCTGTAGAAGATAGGTATCATAAAGTAGGGCGATATAAAACATAGGACCGTCAACCAGTTCTGTCCTAGGATTTAATAAGACCGGTTAACAGCCCCCCCTCTTATAAAGGTCAATATTATTTGACTTATTTTAAACCAACTAATATGTAGACAATACAATGGCCATTTTACTTGAATGCTACTTTTGAATGTTAATTAATAAATAAATACGTACTTGTAACCCACCGTCCATAAAACGGGATCTTTGGTTTTGGTTGCGGTCGGAATAAAGCTCTGTTGAAAATCGTAAAATAGTTTTTTGTTATTTCTACCAAAGACTCTTGTATTTTGTGTCTTAAGTAGAGTTGTTCGGAATATAATTGTATATATATCCACAAATTTTCGTTTAATTTGAATTAATATTGAACGAGAAATACCGATTTTTAGGCCGACCGAAATATTTTGGGTCGGATCACGGATTGGAACCGACCCAATTGGAGCACTAGGTCGGAATCAAAAAACCACGTTTCGCTATTTAATCTAGAAGATAAAATCAAGAAATTAAGGGTTTGATAGAAAAGAAATTGGTTCATTCGGCGAATAGTTAATCGTTGAATAAATCAGCATCTGACCAAATACATGTAAAATGGTCGTTTTTATGTCTAATTACTTATTTCTATAATCGAGTAAGATTTTTGAAGACGTGAATTGATTGAAAAGCAGTTAAATGAGTAATAAATTATTAAGATATTGTAATAAAATAAGTTTACAAAGAATTCAGAACGATCTTTTAAATATAAAATTTGTGAGACGCTGATATTAAGAATTGTTGTCAAGGACGAGAATATTTGTTAAGAATCTAGAAAGTACATGTGTACAGAGCAAAGACGAAATCGTCCGAACGCGTCTAAATTTTATTAAACATTACTTCGAATGAAATCAATTCAATCGTTTTATTAAACTTTTTATGATTAGAAATGCAATTTCTGAAGTAAGAGTCAAAAATTACTTCGCAATAAATAATAATATGACAATAAAATCTATAAAAATTGTGAAATGAATGTTCTCTCTAAGGATAAGTCAAAAGCTGTTTCTTGATTTCCAAATCAAATCGATCACACGAATTTCCTTTACAAAATTCCGAATTATAATGACCCGCAAACAAAGTTAAAGATTTGACTATGTTAACTTTCACAGCCGCAACAATATCAGGAATTTCGGATTTTTTAATGATTTCGCTGTTATTGTGCAATGTTTGATTGACAGCATTTGAGAGAGTGGCCAAGAAATTTTCTTTAGTCGTTGCTTCTTTCGAAAGGACAGATTTTATGGCTTTCACGTTTCGCTTTTTAATCATATCCAAGAAATGACAAATGGATGGTGGATTTCCGCAAATGTAATTCATTTTTCGGCAATCACTCATTTTCCAAATCGCTGGTGGTTTCGGTTGTTTAACGCGAAATGGATGATTACAGTCTCCACGAAATTGAGGTTTTTGCACGAAAATAGCATGTTCTACGATATTGGGCAATCTTTTGTTGAAATTGGTTTCAAGCTTTTTAGCTTTATTATTAAGAGTAAGAAGAATTTGTTTTCTGAGTTTTTGGGTAACACTATCTTTTTTACTTGGAAACACTACGTTATCTAGGGCGGTGTCTTCTAGGTTTTGGTATAATGAAACCCAAATTGGGTGAGTCACATTTCCATATTTTTCGGCAAATGTCGTGCTAATGCCAACACGACAAGTTTTTTCACAAGCAGATGAGGGATTTGTGGTAAAAAGTACCGTCGAACCAGCGACTAGCAAAAGAGTATTGAGTAATTTCATATTTTTTCGCAAATCGATAATGATTGAACGATTTATGATTTATATCTATAATGGCTTACTAGAATGATGAACGATTTATGATTTATATTTATAATGGATTACTAGAAAGAAAGTATACAATTTTCACGGGAGATGAGGATAAAAGAAAGAAAGGTTTTTGTGTATGTTTTTCGAGACAAAAATAGACTAATTAAATACTGCATGCTTACTATCTGTACATGTATAACGATAACGATAACAAAGGAGTATTGTTTGGAGATTACCAGCCATTCGTAAAACTGATTCGATGATTTGCTATATTAATATGCACATGTATGGAATAATTCATCTTTCGCTTTGCATGCTTTTACCTTTTTGGGTAAGTTTACATGGATCCGAAAAATTAATGCAAAAACCAAATTATCTGAATCATCAAAACCATCGTTGGTTGTTGAGCATGTTATTTGAAAAGGGATTTTACAAGATGAAGTGAGAATCGTCAATTGAAAAAGAAAGTATTATTCCATTGGTTTGGTGGAAAGAACGAAACCCAATTCCTTCTCATCTCGCATTAAAACGATTGGCTATACCAGGAAAATCAGAACCAAGTGAAAGACTATTTTCAGATGCGCGGGATTGCATCTGATGGTTAAAAGAAGCTGCTTACACCAAGTCTTTGGGTAAACTTATGCTTCTTCAACGAAATATGCAAGTTTAGAAACTATTTACCAAATTGAATCAACAATCCCACAATCAATCCTAGTACACTCCCGAAAATTCAGACCACAAGAATCTTTACGAATAAATCCTGATATTGTGCGCCTGCCAGTGCGGCACTGCTGGACTCATATAAGAAAGAATTCCGCGAATTTTCTGATTAGATTTTTCTTTATTTGCTGGGTTAGCAAGTCAAAATCGGAGTGAGAAGTTCTGAAAAACGATTAATTTTTTTATGCTATCCAATTCAACTAAGTCGGAGCAATAAGCTTGAAGACCAGAAGAAATATATTGACTTTAGGATTTTTTTGTTATTTTAATTATATTTTATTTTCGGAGAAACATTCAATGATTGATTTGATTTGCATTATTCGTTAATTTCTTAATTGTTTAAGCTGAAATTTAATATATACAGGATTATAGAAGAATTTGCTTTAACTCAAATATTCAAAAACTGTTTTTCTTGAAGACAAATGCTATTTGAAGTACTGTTTTTTCCTAATTTTAACAATATCCAACATTTAAATTTAATTCGACTATTTGTTCACTTTTTATTGGATCAAACGCAAAATCAGGAAATCTTTGCACACTACTGTAAATTGATTGATATCTTGTTGGATCACAAATAAAGTTAGAATCGATATGATATAAATAATATTCAATTGAAATATATAAGAAAACAAGATTCTTGTATATATCGAATGTGTATGTCGCGTTTTCATTTAGGTAAAGTTAGCTTGTTAACTTGTAGCCAGATTCCAACATGCAATAACTAGTTGATTTGTGTTTAGTGTTCTTTACATGCTCTTTTAGCTAGGAGTGTTTTCTTCACCATTATTTTCTTGCAGAATAGCTTTTTATCCATGTTTGATTCCTTAATTAATATTTTTCTTTATAATGAAGAGCTTTCATTGTTGTAGATCGCTCCATCCTTGATCGTTTCGACAGTATAGACATAATACTTTCTCCTGTTAGATGTTCCTTTGTAGACACAATAGCTTTGCATTTTCAAAATAAATTTTGAAAAATGACACATTTTTATAAAGTGAATTGAAGGGAGTATAGTGATGAATAAAAAAATTGGAACAAAGCAAGAATTACCTAGACAAAATAAATGGTGAGTGTGACGCAAACGTTAAATTATTAACTGGGTTTCGAGTTAAAGCACAACGAGCAAAAACGACTTCTATTTCTTTGTGTTCACGCGTATATTTATTATTTTAACCATTTTATTATGATTTTTATTCAATTACACGTTAAGTTTACCGTCACGAAATCGTCGTCGTCTACTTGCTATCATCACATACACATGGGGCAAATAGACGGTAATGATACAGAGGGTGCGCATATTAATTCGATCACTCTTATTTTTCAGCTTTAAATAAATATCCTGCACAAAACCCGAGAATAGTGTTATAAGCTTCTCTTACTACTGACGTATATAACACATGCTTTCGACCAACCTTCGATAGCACTCGGGCGGAAATATCTTGCCAGGCTTTCTTCACGTTCTGCAAGATTGGATGTGGAGAGTCCGTCAGCGGATAGTTACTTTCATTTCCTACCAAATATTCTCTATAGGGTTGAAGTTGAGGGCATGGCATTCTCCATGTAAACATTACAAATGACACGTGATTAAAATTTTTTAAACTTCGTGTAACGTGGCACTCGAACAAAAAAGCAAAAAAATTTGAAACAAAAGTGCACACCCTCTCCTCTGTATAACGATAAATAGAACTGTATCTCTGACTCGTAGAATTCTTCATAGAACTTCAATTTATGTTGACGTGCATAAGAGTTTCACATGAAAATAATACGCTTACAACATATTCAAACAGAGCCTTTTATTATTCACATACAATAGAAGTCATAAAAGGCTTCTTTGTTATGCGTTTTGACTCATAGGAATCGACACAAGTGGAAAATCAAAATAATTTCTCATTTATTGTTGTGGGCGTAACGGTAATGTGTTTCTGCGTAATTTTTCATGCATACAAACACAAACGGAAGTGAATAACACATACATACGTATAAATCATCGTTTTTTAAATAAAGCACTGTCATAATCACTAAGAAAATATCTCAAAGATGAAAGCTAAACTTTGGAATACTCATGATTGTACATGTAGTAAATGTGACGACTGTCAGGAATGGAATTACTGTAATAAGTGTTCATATCACAATACTCATGATTGTAATAAATGTACCAAATGTCAAGAAAATTCCTACTGTTATGCATGTGATGACCATCACAAACGAATTTATAAAGCTGAATGGTCTAGCGGAAATGACGATATCGACTATCTAATAAATGAATGCAATAATATTACAGCATCTAGAATATTTGAATGGATCCCTTTTGAAAGACTCACCGATGTTGAATATCTTGCAAACGGAGGTCTTGGATCAATTTATAAAGCGACCTGGTTGGATGGATCATTGAACGCTCGCAAGTGGGATCATGAAAAGAATAAATTTAACCAAATTGAACGTGTCGTTGTGTTGAAATCATTACCGTTACACAATTCAAAGCAAATAATATCCGAGCTTATAAACGCGGTAAAATAAACACCTTTTTAAAGTTTAAGCATGTTGCTTTTTTTGTTTTTCGATATAATTAACTTTTTCAAAATTAGATTCAGACTGCTCTAAAGTGCGTTGATATTGGAATAAATTATGATGGAATAACTAAAAACCCAACTACAAATGAATACTCGATAGTGATGGATTATGCAGAAGATGGCGATCTACGCAAACATCTTAATTCCAACTATCAAAATTTGACTTGGGATCAAAGATTAAGATATTTATATTGGATTACTCGAGCGTTGAATAAAATTCACAAAAAGGAATTTGTGCATCGTGACTTTCACCCTGGAAATATATTAATGATGTATGATGATATTCCTGAAATTGCCGATTTTGGACTTAGCAAACTCGATATCGATATAGAAAAATCTGATCAAAAAATTTGCGGAGTACTTCCTTATATGAGTCCAGAGGTATTAAATGGAAAGTCATACACTAAATCTGCAGATATTTATAGCTTTGGAATGATTTTGTTCGAGATTGCAACTGGTGAACGACCATTTGGTGGGCGGAGTCATGATAATGATCTCGTATTAGACATTTATAAAGGAGTACGACCTACGATCCCAAATAATGTTCCCAGATGGTGTAAATTTATTATTGAAAAATGTTGGGATCCTATTCCAGAAGACAGACCAACTGCTGAGGAACTTTACGGCTTTATCTACTCTATCAGCTATGTCGACGAGGAGTGGAAACCGAATGCATGTACTTTGCATCTTCAGTACTACAGCCATTTGAAATCGCATAAAGAAATTAATGGGTATCTTAAACTAGGAAAGCAAAAATTATATGAACTTAAATATTGTTTTAAGCCAGAAAATAAGAGATTATATCGGGTTAAAGAGAGTGTTAAACTAGAAAGGCAGAAATGTAAAGCACTCGATGAGGCGAGGAAATTGCAAAAAAGCATTCCTACAAATATGAACAAAAAACAACTTCACTCCAATGCAGTTTACACCAGTCGAATATTTATTTCAAACTTAATTTCAATTCCCACCGACACTGGTACTTTTTTATTTTTAAATATAACCCCCTTTAACTTTTCACATTAATTAAAAACTCTATCGAATATTAGGGTTTACAACTGTCAGTTTGTATGTTCCAAACGAAGGTAAAATTGGTTGTTTTATTTTTTTTAATTGATTTCTTTGATTTCTTTAATTCAGTTCAATATCTTTACAAAACAGATTTATGTCGATATGAAATTAACGAGAATGAAGAGATATCAAGCGTCTCACAAGAACAACTACATACTTATGAAGAAACACTATAATAAAATATATTTTATACTTTATTATATTATATTGTCAAATTAAATTGCCAATAATAATAATTATATCTTTTAATCTAAAAAATAAGTTTCTGAAAGTATAACCACTATTGTATCCACTTACTGATAACCATTGAAGGGATAATAAGACTACAACAATTAATAATATATTTGATAACGGGGTCTCATTTTAAACTGTAAGTTTTACGGTCAGAGCTCGTAATAACGATGCCTTTTTATAATGATACTTTCTATAACGATATCCTTTATATCGTGTAACCATGCTAACGACTCCATGACCACTTTTTAAAGTGGTATTTTCATTATAACGATATTTTCTCGTGTAAGGATATATCGTTATAGCCAGCTCTGACTGTATTTGCATTAAAATGAACACCCTTTTTAGTAGGGATGTTATAAGTCTGGTTCCGATTCAGTTCCAGCAAAGTCCGACTTGGAACTGAATTGAACTTAACCAATGGAACCGGTCATGGACATAGAGTGTCCAGCTTACTGCATTTTTGCGCAGCAATTGATTATGCAAATTCCGCATGTGTAACGTGTATGGCCACTTGACCAATAAATTATTTGAATACATAACTATCAAAAGTAGAAACCGACCAATTTCACGATTTCATAATCGTCACCAGATTTCATTTTAATCCGATTTCGTCTTAATCTGCCACATTAAAGTTAATACATGTATACCAATGCGAAAAAATCAAACTCGCAACTTATACCACAATAAAATGCTTTGAATTTGAAAATATTCGTAGCAAATCCCTCGGCTCAAATACATGTATTTCGGATAACTGAGGGTGACTTTGTATAGTCACATATAGTCACCCTCCATGTAAGCACATCATAGAAACCTCTCTATAAGTATATTTGTAGATTTTTGGAATAGTCAAAATTATAAGAAAAAACCTCTAAGTATTTATAATGGAACCTTCTTATAGCACATTTCACTCCAAAAATTACTAATGCGCCCAATGGTGTGAGTATATAGAGGTATGTCTGTATTTCACTTTCGATACGTTGAATCAAATTATTAACACAAGAAAGGCAATTTTGCGTGTGAAGATTATCATTAAAAAGTCTTCAAACAAAACTCAATCATGCTAATAAAAAGGAGCAAACTCATTTTGTCACTCTTAATTACACAGTTAATTATAATTTCAGCCAGATCCTAATCATTTTCAAAAAAGAGAATGACCCAAATAGTCGCTCGAGTAAATTTCGTTTCAGAATTTGGATACCGGACAGCTCACAATCACATTTTGAACTTACAATCTATTCTTCGAAGGGCTTGACGACCCTCGAAGTCTGCGAGGACGAATATATGCCTGGACACTGGATCATGTCACCTATTCGACCCGATTTTACGGTCGAGATAACGATAATACAGTATGTAGATCTGTAAATTGTAAAACAAAAAAATAAATAACGATAAAAAGGATAATAACGATAACGATAATCATAATAAACTCATAATCACATCACATGGCACCACTATTTTCAAATGAAATTTGGATAAAAATAATAAATGAGTGTCTTAAAAATTCAGGGTATTAATTTACACACGCTTTTTAGTATTCGAAGAAATAATCTTTTTTTTTAGGTACATGTAATAACTTTTTGTTTTATTTAGATTAGAAGAAACTTGGATATTATCCAAAGTTTCTACGGAATTCAAATCATTTGTGGAGACAGTCATCTTAGATATATTTCAAGAGAATCTTTTGTGTGTGGGAACGATTGAAAGACAGGTAATTGTATTTATTCAGTTTTCACTCGATGTTTTAGAATTTTTATTATTTATTAATATTTGCAATTTTCATACGATCAGTATAAAAATGAGCTGTTTAATTTGACGAACACAAGAGCACTCGAGTTTTCTCTCGTCTCATTGAAAGTTTACAACAATTATCCATACGTTGTTCTGAAGCCAGCAGGCCAGCCCAGTAGACTAGTAGAAGAAAATGAACTTTCTGCCCCCAATTCTTTCAACAAAACTGTAACGTTCTATCTTACCGTGCAATTCACAAATTCGATTGGTCAAAAATATAGGTCAGCTCGTCGAGGAGTTTCTTTCGACTCAAACAAGCCGTATCCTCGTCAGATGGCTATTATTTTCACTACTACAGGCTTTTGTGTGGAAGTTGATGCATCTACCATGGATCTTACGGAGAATACGTTGAATTGGACTCGCAGTGAGAATTGTACTCTGTGTGAAATCAGAATTCCATTCAAAGATAAATTTCTCAGAAGGATCGTAATCTAGGATTATATCTTGACATCAAATCTATGGCTTGCATCTTAGCTAAATACCATATATGTAATTCTTTATTCACATCCACTATTATGACTAGAAAAAACGATACATTATTTTTGTTTCGTCGATAGTAAATATAATGTTAAAATAACACATAATTTGTGTGATAAATGATTTTAACAATATTTTCTTGTTTTCTCCCGATTAACCCATAAAACAATTGCTTTCAATAATGCTGGTTTACTTGGTAACACTCGTCTACTCAGATACACACCAATAACTTTAACCAATTTCAAACCGACGTCTTTATTTGGTGATAAATCCACTAGTTCGTCGGCCAATTGTTTTTGCGAAAATCCAATTTTACGCTTACGATATTCGAAATATTTGATTAAATTTTCATTTAATGCGTTTCTTTGATATTTTGTCCAGCATTCTTGTTCTTGTTCTTGTCCTTGATCTTTTTGTTTTTCATTGTCTATTTCTTCGTCTTCGTCGTCTTCGTCTTCGTCCTCATCTTCTACTTCCTCTTCGTATTGTGATTCATCATCATCATCATCTTGATAATATTCTTCCCTTTCGTCTTGGTCAATAACGTCATCATCAGAGGATGAGCAAGATGGTGAACATGAAGAATCAGAAGTTTCGTCATCAGAATTAAATTTCACATTCAACCTTGTTTCATTAGAATCTTGTATATGGTTAGAAACAAGTTCATAGGAGGTCCCTATTCGACCAACTGATTCATATTTTGAACAAAGGACATTGGGTTCACCCGACGAAATTTTCTCCCGCATTCGTTTCAATAATTTCACCATGAAACGAGCATCTTTTGCCACCTAAGAATCAAAAAAGCAGATTTGTTACACAAGAAAACATTTTTCTTCAATACAATGCTATAATATTATTTTTTATACTTTTTTATATTTTTGTTGAGATTTCAAAATAGTGTGAAGCACATCTAATTGTTGTTTTCCTTTCAAGTTTTGAGGTAATTTTTTAGTCATGATTGATTTTAAGATAAAAACAATCGAGATTAATCGTGATAGTGGTAGCGGTAGTGTTTTCGTTGGATAAAATGATAAACTTGATACATGTACATTTTATGTACTTATTGTCACATGTACTTATCCTAATTTAGCATTCGTTTTAGTGGGAAATATCGGTATCGATATGGCGTATTTATTATTTTTTAGTAGTTACGTTTAATAATTATTGAAGTTGAAACGCGCGAAGAAGTTGTGGGCGAGTATAAATTCGAGAGATATAATAGGTGAAATAGACGAGAGAGTCGATGTTACTAGTGTTCGAAAACCCTAAACTTAGAAGCCGGCTTGGCTATGCACTTCAGCTTTACCAGCTCAGCCATCCATTGGGATCTTTAAGCTGATTTGCTGTCAAATTCACAGAGCCGGCTGGCTAGCCAGCCGGTCGCTAAATGGTTACGTTCACTAGATGTCACTGTAAGCTCTTTAAATTTGTGGTTGAGAGGAGACCGTTTTTCAGTTAGAATATTTTACGATATCGATGCTCACTCAAAATCGATTAATTCTTGGGCTTCGAATGGGGGGAGTTTAGTTAAACTAAACTAGGTTTTATGATAAATATTGCTTCGGACATTGAAGTGATGATAACCTTTTGAGTATATTCTAAGCACTAACGTTAAAATTTATTAAACTTATATACAGTAGCTCGTAAATTTGTCACATTAATCTGTAATGGATATCGACTAATTACGAGAAGAATCGAGAAAGCTAAACACACTACCCAATATTCGAAAGTTCTACTTCTAACAATTAATTTCTTGGTTTGACTTAACGTCAAGGTGTACGCGCATTTACATCATTTTTGGTTATGAAATTATGTACGTAAAAAATTATGATATTAATAAAAAACTTACACAGCACGTTCTCGGCGAGTAGATGATGAACAATACCACCATTTCATTGAGAGGAATTCAATGGTAATATTTTCATCACCGTATGGGCTCTATTTGCTGAGAACGGGAAAAAACGATATTAAATAACACAAGGATAGAATTAATTTGCACGCATGTTTTCAGCAAGCAGAGGTTGTACGAAGTTGAAAATATTCGAATCGCCTCGTCGAGAGGAATCCAATGGTGATATTTTTATCGTCATATGATCTTTATTCGCTGAGAAAGGGAAATATTTTTAATTGGCAAACGTAAACTCTTAAAGGGGAGTGTATGTCAGTCATTTTTAGCTGCAAAGTTAAGCCACTTTTTCTGGCTTCTTTTCTATCCTTTAAAGCTCCAATACCAAATTTATAACACGAACCAAGTTAATATTATCCGTTCGCATATCCACTCTCCGCTGATTTCAAATACCACTTGAAGGCTTTTGACTCATCTTTTCGTGCTCCGATCCCATTTCGATAACATAAACCAATATTACATTGTCCCTTCGCATCTCCACCCTCTGCTGATTTCGAATACCATTCAAATGCCTTTTTCTCATCTTGTTGTGTTCCAATTCCACCTTTATAACAATTTCCAAGATTAAATTGCCCTCTTGCATTACCACTCTTTGCTGATTTCAAATACCACATCTTTTTATGTTCTGACTCCAAGTTGATAGCACCAGCCAAGTTTATATTGTTAATTAACACTTCCGTTCTTTACTGACTTCAAATACCAATCGAATGCTTTTTTGTGTTCCACAACCGTATTTGTAACAATAACCGAGCTTATATTGTGCTCCGTGGTCACCTCTGTTTGCAGATATCGCATACCATTCGAACGCCTTTTTATCATCTTATGCCTTTATCGTAACATTGACCAAGATAAAATTGCCTTTTAGCACATTCACTTTCGGCGGATTTCGAATACCAGTCAAATGCTTTTTTATCATCTTTCTTTATCCCAATCCCGTTACAATAGGCTAAACCAAGGTTACATTTTCCCCTAGAATCTCCTCCCTTCGCTATTTGATATACCACTAAAATGCTTTTTCGGGATCTCTTTGTATGCCTATTCCATTTTCCAATGAAATATTGCGCCATACATTCTTATTGATTGCTGACTCTTCGAAAATTTTTGCTGCAAACTCCAGGTTTTTCTCTATTATACAACCAGTATAATAAAAAAGTGTCTGTTATTGAGTTTTGTCTTTAGAACCGTGTAAAAAAGTAAAAAAAATATAAATATCGAAGGAATCTGTATTATTCTGTTGATAATAAGATTGTAGCGCTCTGCCATAGTTAAGACATTTCTTTCGTAATCAAGTTGTTATTTAGTAAATGCAATAATTCATCAACAACAATTAAAAGTTTTTCCTCATAAGATAAATTTTCAGAGTCTTCTTCAGCCCATGATGAATCCGAACTCTCTGATAGTTGTTCTTTAGAGATTGATGATGAATCCTTCGAACTCGAAGTAAATGAACCTTTAGAGATGAAGCTTCAGATGTGATAATAGGATATTTTGATGGTGACCAAATCATTTCTTTTAATCTTGATTTACTCTATCTATATAACTGGGAGATTTGCTGGTATATTGTCCCAACATTTTTGATAAAGGTAGACATATTTAGAAGGAGTCTAAATATTGTTGTTTCTTTCTCAATAACATTTTAAATATATCCACATTTATTGGATGGGAGGCGACCGCTAGAAATCATCCATAATAGAAATTCAACGCTGAAAATATCTGATTTTCGTCACGTCGAAAATTATTCATATCTTTTAAAAAAAGCTGGATCAACATAGCTTATAATGCCAAAGTTGGAGCCTGAATGAGTTTCATTATTAAAAAGTTTCGAATATCCGAAACTTTAATCTTTCCTTATGCACGAGTATATTATTATGGTTCTACAAATCAATGTAAAGAGCAGCTATAAGTAACAATTCGGCACAATTAATAAGTTTGAATATATATTCACCAAATCTCGATGAATAATGCCTTCATCATGTATACATTTTACTCCTTCTGCAAGTTTTCTAGCGAGACAGAGTTTATCATTACCACTCAATTTCGCAAAATTGACTTAAAATTATCTTGGAGAGTTCCACCATTAGTATATCAAAACTAGCATATTTTTCCGAATTGGATTCTGCGTATAGATTTATTTAGTGCAATTCACTCTCGTTATAGTGAAGACGTCGGGACAAGAAAAAATCTTCACTATAGCTTATATCGAGAGAATAATTTATGACTTCATTATATCAAGCGAAAGTTTAATAGTGATCCTGAGAAAATTCTTTATTATAACGAGAAATTCACTATATCGAGATTTCAATTTTTTATAAATTTAGAAAAAACAGAACTATTATTTTTTACTTTGGTGATTAACTTTGATCAGGATTTTCAACTATAAGAGGATAAGAGATTAAATTAAAGTCTATTTTGTTTAAAAAAAACATGAATGCTAAATAAGTACGTCATTGATAAATTGTATATAAGAATCCTCTTTCTTTTGTCACGTTTTATAATAAGGCATTTCAAGGCGACCGTTCTTCCGCCTTTTTTCAATTCTGTTCTATATACTTTACCGAACGCTCCCTGTCCAATTGCGTTTATATTAATGAATTCTTTAAACTCAAAAAATTTTATTTGACTTTCTGATATTACGGTTTCTAGCCATTTATTTGCGTTAATCGAAGTCAAAGATGACATTATTTGATGTCGTCGAATCAATTGAATAGACACTATTTTGATAGGAAATGCCACAATTTATATGTTTTTCTTAATTCTATTCTTGCTTTGTGGGAATTCTAAATCTGGGAGTGCTGGGAAAAGGAGGGGAGATGACAATGCAATCAATATATCGTCAATGTGCGTACAAGGTTTAAAATTCAAACTTGCGGTTGATTTCAAATCCTGTGGTTTTACGAGTTCGAACTTTAAACACTGCGTAAAGCTGAGGATAAAGTTATATGTAAAATTTGCTTTTCCGACATTTTTTATTAGTTCTTCAAGCTAGATTTTGACATCAGTTTTCCACATTTCTTATTTTCTAGTGTCAAAGACCACGTGATTCAGCACTGTCCCGAAACACAGCTGTGACTATCCAATGTCACGTTTTTTGTAATCGACCAATAAAATAATGATATCTTAAACATGTGAAATGATACAAACCAATTTATTACATGATTTACATTATGATAATTCGGGCTGGCACTATGATAATTAGCATTAGCATAGTGCCGGCTCGAAATATAATAAATGCCAACCAATATAATTACGTTCATGTGATAAATATTCACGTGATTTGTTTCAAATTTGGACCGATCATATAAGTGACCAAGTTTAAACACCTATATCTTTATCAAGGGCTTTTTTTGAAAATTTGACCAGTAGTTCAATAGAGCTGATCTTAAAGTTACTGGTTTATTTTTTTAAATTCCATTTTCGTAGTGTTGAAATAATTCATTTAATTGTTGAGTTATGAATTCCGACACCATATCTAAATTCCATTGATAACGTACATACCTATTTACTAAAAGAAATGCTGTTACATCAAATCATCGTTCTGATGTACATTTCTACAACCCTCGTTATTATGCCACCCCCGTTATTATGGCATCCGTGTTAGTATGACCAAACTAGTCCATCCAAGCAATAACAATAACGATAATAAGCAAATAATTACTTTCCCGACTCAATGTTCTTCATTTTTCATCTGGTAAAAAACTTGAATAACTAATAATGAGAAGTCTAGAACACTATCATATTTCCTAACAATAAATCAAGATCAAACTATCAGAGATTACTACTTTCATACTATCTGTAATAAAAAAAAGAAAAATTTCACCGATTTATATTAATAAAAATATAGTAAAATTGTATTCACGAAAAATTACAAAAGAATGTAACAACGTCAAAATTTATATATAAAAGTTTCAATTTTACTATTCAATCCGTTTTATACAAAAAATACAAATAATAATCTATATTTTAATATTTTTTCAGATTTTTAGAAAGTTTTTCTAATTGCAAAATAAGTTGATTAATCTTTTATAATTAAAACATAAAAAATTTATTAACTTAATTATATTTTTGTATAAATATTACTTGGTAAAATGTAAACTTTTATATAAGAGAAAATTCCATATTTTATTATGTTTATACAGTGCAGGTCACTTAGTTACCACAATTGGCCAAATCTGAAGATCTATTAACTCAACAATCTGACTTTCCAGTCAAAAAAATACGTAATGTTATAGAGTAGTCAATAAACTATTGATTTACGTATTTTCTAATAATTTTGAGAGCTCTGATATGATTTTTTTGTGTGGTGACTAAGTGACTCGCACTGTAGTAATTTGATGCTATTGTTGATTGTTATTGTATATAATAAATATATTCCTAAATATAAATATTCGCAGACATATTTGTCTGAATTTTGAATTTTAATAATAATTTAATAATTTTTCATTTTGAACAAATTTAAAAAAGCTATTTAATTAATATAAAAATATTTTATTAATTGAAATCATATTTAAAGAAATTATATGAATTAAAAATTTTTACAAATTAACAACATATTTGTCTATATTATAGTTAAAATAATAATTAATTGGAATTAAATATATAATAAATATAAGTAAATATTTTTGTATTTCTTTTTATTATATAAAATGCAATTATAATTATATATTTTTTTAAGAATTTATTATAATAAAATTATTCTTTTATAATATTATTTATAATAAAACTTCATAATAAATTATTAGAATAACAAAATAAAAATACAGTAACAACCAAAAATAATGCAATAATGTTAAAATTCATTAATTAAATATAATAAAATATGAATTTATTTCTTTATATAAAAGTTTTCATTTTACCAATAAATATTTTTTGCTTTTATATTAAAATAAAGATAATATTTTTTGTTTTATATTAAAATAAAAATAATATTATATATTTTAATATATATTTTTTTTCAAATTTTTAGATTTAATCTGATAAAATTATTCTAATTGTATATAAAGTCAATTATTCTTTTATAATTAAAATATAAAAATAATTAACTTTATATGCAATTGGAATAGTTTTATCAAATTAAATTTAAAAATCTAAAAAAAAATATCTGTTAAAATATATAATATTATCTTTATTTTAATGTAAAAATAATAAATAGTTATTAATAAAATTGAAAACTTTTATAAAAATTCATATTTTATTATATTTAATTAATAAATTTTAATATTGTTGTATTATTTTATCACTATATAATATATATTAAAAGTATTATATATTTTAATAAATAAATTATACAAAATATATATAATAAAAATACAAAAAGATTATATTATAAAAAGCTTAAATTTTGTAATTATATATAATATTTTAAAAAAATAATGAATAAAAAATTTATTCAAAATTTTTTTAATAATATTTAAACAAAAAAAACTTAATTAAATAAATAAAAACTTAAATTTTTAGTAAAAAATATTTTTTTTAATTAATATATCAAATTTAAAAATATTAAAAATTCTTAATATTTATAAAATTATAATATTATGTATTATTAAAAAGTATTTTAATAAAAAATCTTATTTCAGAATTTTAAATTATAATTTTTCTAAAATTAAAATATTTAAAATAAATTTTTTGATTTTGTTATTAATTTTTGAAAAAAAATATTTTAAATATTTTTTATAATTTTTTATATAATATTTATTTATATTTTATAAAATATATAAACTTTTTTATTATAATAAATATATATTATAACTTAAATTATTATATATTTTATAAAATATAAATATTTATTAATTTTAAATATAAATTTTAAAATTAATAAATAATATTTTAAAATTAAATATATAAATTTAAATAATTTTTTATAATTAACAGAAAATTTACAAATAATATTTAAAATAATATTGAATTATATAATTTTTAATATAAAAAATAAATAATATAAATAATATAAATAATATAAAGAAAATATTAAAATCTAGTTTAATATATTAATAAAAAATATTAGAAAAATAATTTTATATATAATCTTATTCTCAATTTTAATTTTAACTAATTTTAATTCAAATAGTAAAATAATCTTTAATATTAATTTTGTAATTATATAAATATAAATTTCTGAAGTTTATATAAATTTATTTTTTAAATAATTAGATTATTTTAATTTTGGTAATAATATTTGATGAATAAATTTTTTATATTATATAAAAATAAAATTTTTTATATTTAATTATAAAAATTTATGCTATAAAATAATATTTTTTTGTTTTTATTATGTTAAATTTATTATAATTTATTATATTAGAGTATATCCTTTATTAGAATTATCAATTTAATTAAACTTGTTTATAATAATTCAATATAAGTTACTTATTAAAAATAAATAATAAAACTTCTTGAGAAATCAGAAACTTGTATAAATAAAATTATTTTCAAATTTTATATTTTAAAAATTATTAAAAACTTATTTATAATAGTATTTAAAAAGAAATATCTATTATAGTTAAGCAACTTGGCTTTTCTAGAACTAGTGGAATTGATTTAGAACTAAGTTATATTTTATCATATATTTTTATAGTCTTTTTTGCAATTAGTTAAAATTTGCAATCTGCTAAAATTATTACAATGTTATAATTACCACAATATGTTATAATTATTAGAATTATCACGATTATTCGTCTCAAAAATTATGTAAAAAATTGATTTTATACATATTTATTATTAAATATTTGTATTTTATAAATGTATAAACTTTTCAACTAAGAAGCAATTCAAAATTTAATCTGTGAATATGATATGGTGCATAACATCTAAATTTATCAAATTTTTGTATTTTAGGAAATGTATATACTTCTCAACTAAGAAGCAATTCAAAATTTAATCTGTGAATATGATAGAATAGGCCCTTTTTGACCATGTTCACAAATTAAATTTTGTATTTACTTCTTAGTTGAGAAGTTTATACATGATATAAATGTTTGATGCTATGCACCATATACAATAGAAAACGATTTAACAAGAACCCATATAAACAAAGTTTCCTTATTTAAAGGATTTAGTTTTTTTTTAAAGCCGAATGGTTCTTTAAAATTGTATGTCTTTTTTAAAACCAAACAGATTTTTAAAACTATATATGTCTGATTTATTTACCGTAAAGCGCTCTGTATAGTATCCCCCTTTGTATAAAATTTAAACCTCAATTTAACCTCAAGACTGTTAAACCAATAACTAAATTTCTTAAAAAATCGCATAGTGAAATCTAATTTAATTATTTACATAAAAAATAATTGAATTTACTAAAAAAAAATTGAACCAAATTGTGGTTCAAATTTTTACAAGGGGGGATATTATAAAGAGCGCTTTACGGTAATTGTCATTGCATTAGTATTAATTATAACGATAATATTTTATCAGATGAATTGTTTTTTTAAAACACCAATCGTAATAACGATAATAGTGATAGATCTGATGAGGTCTCGTATTATGATTTTGTGTACTAACGCTAACGAATTATCGTTACATGTACCTAAAATTGAAATCTATTTCTATTACGTAATCTTGTGATTCATCAGCATATCTTCATTATCGTTACTAGGGCAAATACATGCATAGTTAAATACGTACCATCGTTATGTGCATTATCGCTATTACATGTACATGTACTATGTACACTATAATAATAAACATAGCAATAGTGCATATAGTGTTTAATGCGATACAGCTCAATGATACAGTACGTAAAATCATCAAATAACTAAACTATCGTTATGCTTTTTAATACTCTTAAAATATACGTGTATTTTCCCGTAACTATCCATATAATTATCTTTAATTAATTCTCGGATAAAAATAGAAATTTTAAATATTCTTTTAATATCCGTATACATGTATTAATAAATGGCTCTAGATATTTCATCCGACATATCACGTCACGTGTTGTCTATGCAGGTTGTTTCATTTACACGATATCGATACGGTATTATTGTACGCACTCATTAATTGATATGGAATTTAGGATAGGACATGGGTCAATAATACGTGTACATCATAAAAACAAAATGAATTAGAGATGGGCCGATGTACATTATGTGTGCATATATGTGTATTATTTTTCGATCCTAAGCAAGGAGCAGATGTATTATATGGTTAAAAAAAGAAATTATTATATTCACAAAGTGATTGTTTTATTTGGACGTTAGAATAAGGAATGGAGAAATAATTTAAAACTTGATCCATCGTATTATCAAGGAATTTTTATTCTATAAAAATACATAAAGATCTTGATTAGCGAAATAAACTATTTAGTAATGAAATAAAATAGAGAGTATAATTTACAAAAAAAATCATCTTTAATTGAGTCAACGAAGTTTTCGGATTTGTATATTCATAAGCGAATTATCTTTCGAAGAAATGACTATTGAACAGCAACACATTAATGGCATGATTGCTATTTGTTTCTTTAGCACAATAAGTAACATTGTAGTCACAGTGATGCTTATACTAATTTATAAAGAGAATAAAACGAGGCGAACATTTGTTCGACTAATAATAAATTTATTAATTGCTGATTGGCTGCAAAGCCTTGGATTTGTAATGAGCTATTATTGGATTGCAAAAGGAGAAATAATTGAGGGTGGTACATGGTGCAATGCTCAAGGAATTATTATTAATTTAGGAGATGTTGCTTCTGGTAAATTCAGACTTTTTTTCGTTAATTGAATATTTTTAGTAAATAGTTGGATTAATTAATTCAGTTAATATAGGATTTTGGGCCACTTCCATTTGTCTCCACACATTTTACTCGGTAGTCAAAGGATATGAACCAAAATACTATCTCGAGATTTCTATGGCGATTATTTGGCCATTAAACGTATTCATATCTTTGATAGGATTCTTGATTCAGCATCGACTACATGGAAACAAATATTCTTTTTATGGGTCAGCAGGAGGATCGTGGTGTTGGATCAGTCAACAATTCGATGAATATCGTATTATTTTCCATTATAGTTTCGTGACAATTCTTGCATTCATAATGATCTTTCTTTATGGCTTGATGTTTGTGATTATACATCGACGACGACGACAACACAAGACTGCCGAAATCACATTCGAAGAGACGAGAAAGATATTACAGAAAACGGAGAAAAAGTTTCTTTATTATCCGGTTGTTTATATTGTTTTGGTGTTACCTTTGGCGCTGCGTATGTTTTTCTCGTTTGTGTTTTACATCAATGATATAGTATTTAAAGCAAACTTTCTTCTTTCACAAATTTACGTAGAACGATATTTGTTGATTTTTGGGATAAATTTGCCTTTCACATAGTAAGGTTCTTTTACTTGCGTATTTTATTTTATTTTCTATATATTATCTATCTAGTTTATGTATGAATCTTTCTTTATTCAGTCTAATAGTAGCCGGCTGTATATTCACATCAGCTGGAACTGTTAACGCAACAATCTACGGATTCACTCGTAATATCGTCAGCGTAAAATCATTATTGGTGTTATTTCTAAAAGTTGACGAAGGAGAAAAAGGAGGGGGAGGGGAAGGTGCAGAATAACTGGCATCACCTCCGTTATCACCAACATCATCTATCATCAACTATTCACCAGATTGTGGAAAGTAATCACATTCTCTTTATATAGCCAATAAATACAAAATGTAATTATTTTCCTTGAATAGAGAGTTATGCTGAAACTTAATTCGTCTTTCTTTTATTAGCGGTTACTTTATTACTTGCAATAGTTGTACCAAGTTCTTCAATACCGGGTGATGTTTTTCCTAATTATTTCTCAAAAATTGACTCCTTTCCGAAAAGTTTATTTATTCACGCTAGGTAAAGTCTCCAAAAAGATTCTGGGCTCTTGATAAAGATGTTATATAGAAGATTACAGTCTTTGCAGTCCAGTCTTGAGAAAAGATGGACTGGTCTTTTAGTCTTCGTGACTAAGAAAAAAGACTGATCGAGTGATCATCAGCAACGATTAATTTTCTAATCGTTAACGTTAACACAATTTAATGATAAAGACTGATATTAAAAGACCGAAAGTCTTTGGTCTTTTAATGGTCATATGATGTTACACAAATTTGAGACCACGGGCTTGGTCCTACATTTTATAAGACTGATCAGAAGGATTAAATTAAAATTTGCCGTATGTTGGTAGTTCTCTCATTGTGTAGAGATGTTGAACTGTCGATAATTTTCAATGCAAAAATGCAATATAGATAATATTTTATTACGCTACTATTAGTTTCTTGAACTTATTAAATGTTTTTGCACGAAAAAGCCTCGATAAACCCAAAAATTAAATTGAATTATTGTTATTATATGCGCGTCATAATATCGTTATTGTTTTTCTAATTCACTAACTCTTTGTTGTCTATTAAATGCCAAAATCACACAAAAAGACTTGAAAAAAAAGCAATAACAACTAATTGATAAACCCAAATTGATTTCTTTGTTCCAATACTCTCGAGCGAAGAGCTAGGAATCGATGAAACGGTCCTTGATGGATGCGACTGTGATTGTGATGATGATGGTGTGGATGATGCGGATGTCAGATCTGTTGTAAGATTAGTATTAATCGAACTAGATTTGGACAAGGTTGGTGTGGAAAGAGTAGGAAATTCAATTGTGGTTATTTTCACATTTGGACTCTTCGAACTTGAAGGCAGAGTTTGTTGATTAGTAGGATCAGACAACTTTGGTGGAATTGGAGGCGGAGAAGGTGATTCTTGTAATGGTAATGAAGGTGATTGTGATGGTGATATTGGTAGGTTTTGGATCGGGGAAAATGGCGGTGCTGGTTGAGAAGGATCTTGTATTTTTTGATCTGTTAGCGGTGATTGTGGTGGAGGTGATTTTGGTGGAGGTGATTTTGGTGGAGGAGATTGTGGCGATTGTGATGGTGAAGATGGTTCTAGTGGAGGTGATTGTGGCGATTGTGATGGTGAAGATAATTCTAGTGGAGGTGATTGTGGCGATTGTGGTGGTGAAGGTGATTCTAGTGGAGGTGATTGTGACGATTGTGATGGCGAAGATGATTCTAGTGGAGGTGATTGTGGCGATTGTGGTGATGAAGATGATTCTAGTGAAGGTGATTGTGGCGATTGTGGTGATAAAGGTGAATGTAGTGGAGGCGATTGTGGTGATTGTAGCAGTTGTGGTGGTGATGGTGATTGTAGCAGTTGTGGTGGTGATGGTGATTGTAGCAGTTGTGGTGGTGATGGTGATTGTAGTGGTGGTGGCTGCGGTGATGGTGTCAATTGTTCCGATGATGGCGGTGATTGTAGTGGTGGTTGAGATTGAAGAATTTGATTCTGTGGTAAACTACTAGTTGTTATATCATTATTGTTGTTAATTTGACTTTCTGTTGTTGTTAACTGAGGAGGCTTCTTAGAAAGTGGTTGGTTTTGGATTTGCTGTTGACTTGAATCAACCACTGCAACTTTGTCTTGGCTGGAAGAAATTGGTGCGACAACATCTTCTTGTTGCGAATCAGCAATAATAAATTGTAAAGGCAAAAAACAGAAAATTATTAAGAGTATTGTAAAAAGTGATGAAATTCGTAATGATATAACAGAAAACTGCATTTTTTTGGTTTTCTTTTTTGTCGAGAAAGAAAAAAAGATTTCGCAGGTTTTTTTTGGTTTATTTTCAAATTGTACTTTTAAATATTAAACTATTATACGACTTGCTTTTTCTAATTATTGTCCTGAGTGCCTTTAAGTAAAAAATGTTTACTATTGTCGATCATGAAAAGTTAAACAATGTACTTTTTTTCCCACCAATTGTTATCTCTTTATGCTTATTTATGTTGTTATTATTCTTTTTCGCGGATGAAATTTTATTTTCAATTGTTGAACAAAAAAATAATAAATTTTCATGCTATTTGGTGGCTCAATTGTTATTTTTACATGAAAGTTCTGACGTATCGGTATTTATCAAGTAATATTACGTACAGTTGAATCTAGACATTCTTGACTATGTACAACTAACAATGGAAAGTGATTTCTAAAAATAAATTAACGTTAAGTCGAAAGCCATTAATTTCTCCAAGAAGATGAGTATATCCCATATCTTAGATTCCTCGAATAGACAAAATGGCACATGACACTATGTGCCCAATTCTGGACTTTTTACTATTGAGCGACGAGTATGGAACAATGATTGCGAGAATTAGAAAGACGTAGCGCTTTTGAAGCCGTTGCTTATGAGAACATTATTATTTCTTTTTTGTTGATGTGAATTGATTATTTATTAACGACTTGAAAATGAGTATAATAAACAACTCTTTTTTTTGCAAAAATATACTGTATTATCTTAAAATAGCATCATAAAAACTTTCTTGTCAGCTCTTAAAGATAATTAATGCTTATAGAGAAGCTGCAATAGAAAAAATAATAAACAGTTGGATAAAAAAGAACATTGTTTTTTAAAATTATACATAAAATATTGTTCATATTTATCGTTATACATGTACATGTAGTTATTTAATGAACGTAAATCGGTTTATCATCTCTTAATCAAGCTAAATAAAATAAAATACAGTACATGTACTCGATTACGTAATTCAAAGAGAAATAAAATCGGAATGGATAATTAAATAGAAATTGAGGCATACTATTGGCTGTTAGAATAAGCAATCCGAAGTAAGGGCTATGACATATTCCAAATATTGGGCTGCGTAGTCCGCAGCTATTTTTTTTATAATGCCTAAGAAAATTCTAATACAACACTACCATAAAACGCTGTATAAAGTATCCCATTGACAGAAAATTTAAACCTTGATTTGTTTACTAATTTTCTGCAAAATGAATGAAACAAGATTCACGATGCAATTTTTTATTACTGAATTAATTTTCTACCGCGATATATGACGTGTGCGTGCATATTGAACAAGAACAAATTATAGGAGATTTTATTAAAAAGCACATGTACTTACGCTTTCTAATTTTTCTCAAAACGCTCTATATAGTGTCCCCCCCCTTGTAAAGTACTTTCCAGATATTTTTATGATGCATATTTTTATTTATAGATTTGAATCACTTAAATTAACAATTACGTATGTATTAACGTTAGAAATAACAATCATTTAAATAATTTTTACAAGTAATGAATCTCTTCTAATTAAACAAAAGAACTGAATAATTTAATTATATTCTTAACAATTCTCTGTGCTGTATTTAAAAGTCTTATTATGGGTGCGATATTCATAAAAATTCTTATCATTATGTTCTGGTTTTATCGTTATTATTTTGCAAAGTATTAAAATAATCTCTACTATAATTATATTCGCAGGAAAATTTATTGTTATTTATATCTGAAGAAATATATAAATACTTGATATTTTTCGATAAATATATTAATTTGAAATGATCGTAATCAGTAATAGAAGTGCTTTAAAAGCGCGCGTATAACAAAAAACTTACGAAGAACCTGGTGTGTCCAAGAAAAATTAAAGATTATAAAAAAAACTTCTATTCATGAAACAAGTAAAAAATTTAATATCCAGCCCAAGCAATTACGGGAATGGATAAATAAAAAAATTAACCTAATTAAAACATCACCAAAGACTTTTAAATTGTATAAAGGAAAATTACCCAAGTATCCACAATTAGAAGAAGCCTTATCTGATTGGATTAATAAACAACGGCAATTACAAAATTCTGTTGGTGATTACGAAGACATTTTCACTTGCTCGAATTACTGATTTCCAAAATCTATCGGATATACAAATTTTAAATTTTCGCGAACGTTTGGACGCTCACGACCGATCTGCGACAATCCGCTTCGATTGAGGATGCAATAATAGATGGCTTGATGGTTTTTTAAATCGATATAATTTGTCAAACCGACGTCATACAACTATTGCACAACGTTTACCTGAGAATTTAGAAGAAAAAAACAAAGTTTTCTTACTTTTATTTTAAATCAACGTATTCAATATAATTACACTTTATTTCCAATTGGAAATATAGACTTGCTTTTGATTTACTAAATCCAACAACAGTCGACAAACGTGGCGCCCGCACAATTACCTTCAAACCACAGGTAATGAAAGAAAAAATTTCACTGTGGTTCTTGGATGCATGGCCGATGGAACAAAATTACCTCCAGTTTGTATTTTTAAACTAAAAAAAATACCTTGAGAAATTCCTAATAATGTATTTATTCGTGTAAATTAAAAAGGTTAGGTTAATGAAGGAGAAATGCTTTGAGTTGAAAATATTTGGACTAAAAGACTACCTTTTAAGTAATCCACATTCCCTTTTAGTTTTTGATTCCTTTCGTGCACATTTAATTGATTCAGTTAAACATAAACTTATTGAAAATAATACAAAACTTGCTGTAATTCCTGGAGAGCTAACATCTAAACTGCAACCATTAAATGTTGCCATTAACAAAAGTTTTAAGATGAAGGTATATATAAATTTTAATTATTATTTTTTGGTTTTTTTTGTCGTTATATACATATTTAAAAATTAATTTAAAAGGTCCTGCACTATATAATCCATGGATGTCAGAAGAAATTCATGAGTTTACACCTTCAAACCGTATTAAAAAACCTTCATATTCATTACTCACTAAATGAGTAGAAGTTACGTGGGTGTCTGTCTCTTGATCCAAATTTAATTAAACGTTGTGGGATATCTGACGAAATTGTTATTTTTAACGTTAATACATAGATGAGAGTTTCTTCTCATTATTGATACAAATCTATAAATAAAAATATGCACCATAAAAATATCTGTGCATAAAAATATCTGTGCATAAACCGGAAAGTACTTTACAAAGGGGAGGGGTGGGTACTATACAGAGTGTTTTACGGTAATTAATATCAGCGTTTGATGTTTCATTTCATAGAGATCATGTATATTTAAAACATGTATTTTTTAAAAACATATCTAAAATTGCTTTTAAATACGTATTTTAAACACTGTAACTTCGCACATTTATAACATGATCCAGAAAATCCTTACCTGAGATATATCTAGCCGTGGATCTAGCTCAGGACTTGCCAAGTCACTCATATCCTTTTTTACGCAAACTTAGAACGCTAATACTTACATCAAGATTAGCCCGATTTTGTTGATTTAAACACCAAAATATTCCGATTACGGGTTATGTGGTAAAATAATCGAGTTTTTGGAGAGTTAATTTTTCAATCCAAACGTTTGAATAAGGAGATTGGCAACTATTATGCCAGCTTCTGTAAAAAATACAATATCTTAACAATATGAACTAAAAATATGATGCCATTCAAAACTACAGAAAAAATTTTTATTGTGAGTTCATCGTCTTTCGCGGTACATACAAACCTCCCTAAATGCACTCCCCTTGGGACCATAGTAAAGTGTGAATTTAGAGAGAATGTGCATTTATAGAGGGCAAAATATATAGAGCTCTTATGAGCTGGGATCCAGCCATGCTGTGCATTTAGAGAGGATATGCACTTATAGAGGGTGCATTTAGGGAGATTTGTCTGTAGTTCCACTGAAACAGTAATTATAATAAGAACGTTCATGTAAATTACACCGTTGATACAATTTATTTCAAGTTCCTATTTTAAAAGATTTGAGAAGAAAACTGAATGAGATTTAGTGAAAAGTCTTCAATGGCAAATATAAGTCTTTTAGCTAAACATACCGATTTTTGGCGCTCTTCCTCTTTAGTAAGCATAACCCCCGAGTTTTGCTGTGTAGCTTGGCATGGCATTATATCTGCGTCGTTCTTGCGGAGTCAAATGATCAAGTTCTTCATCATTCAGAACAAGAGCTGGCTCGCCTGCATCGGACATTTTGTGGTCTTAATTAAATTTGATCAACGTGAAGTTTGTGCAACACACGCATTTTCGTGCACAAAAAAATTGAATGACCAGATTGCAGTTGTTGTGATACTGTTTCATTCCTCACGATATATGGGTAATTAGGATGGGGTGGAAATGGTAAAGGTTTAAAGCGAGATGAAGCTAGAATTAGTATTGTCATTACGTGGATATCATATCGATCCTATACTACAGAATTTTTGTATATAAGCAAGATGAGTTTTTGGTGTTAGCTCCTTTTATTCGCATTACATAAAAAAGCTTAAATTTAACAAAAATATAAAAATGTAACAAACTTGACAATATAACATCAAAATTAATGCCAACCAATGTGTATCTGGATCTTGTTCGAGCCTTAGCATTTATTTTTTTGCTTTGGCATGAATTAACCGGCGTTGCAATAGAGAATGTCACCGAATACTAACGAAGCTAGTTGCATAATAATCTAGCCAGAGACAAATAATACGAATGGATCGTGTAAATGTATTATAATAATAGACTTCCGTGTTTTTCATTTTATTAATAAAGCTTGACCATTCGACCAATATTTACAAATGTAACAGTTAATTTTTCACATGCTGACGGGATAGTGGGGAATTACTATGTACTAATTGAGGTCGCAAACGATTATCTCTTTCTTTTCAGGTGAAAGCATTCAGAATTTTCAGAGAAGGAATCAGCTGGTCATTCTACGAAGTGGAATTCGAGATCTAAGTATATAAACTACTTGTTAAGACCAAGAGTATGTTTCCGCTCATCCATTTGAATTTTTTTTATCTAATTCTTCGAAGTAATACTTTCTCACCTAAATTCGTTGGTATGTATAGGACCCACATCATATCCCTCGCAAAAGATATTCTGGACGCGATTCGCTGATGGCGTCCAGATTCTGAGAGTAAACTCGTAGCAAAGACATTGAAACTATCACCTGACCTTCTAGAGAAGCGAGTGGAAACTCGAAAAAGTATATGAGTTGCTTTATATTGATGATGAATATTAATGAGTTCTCTACGTTTGCTCGCAGTATTAACAAACTCGATTAATGAAATTATTGGCGCATCTCTGCAAAGGTCTTGAAATTCTGCTACAAAATAATACACGAAAGTAGAAGTAACTTGGAGCAAATATCCCGTCCACTCATTATCATTCATGTCTAGATAAAGGTAAGCCAGAAACCTATCCACTTGCTATCGTTCGTATCCAGAAACAGCTATATTATTCTCAAGTATAATCAGTTTTTTTAGCAATAGTTCGAAGAGATAGGAATGTATACTCTTAGGCAAATTGTAACGTCCACATGATTTTGATCGAGACCAATTTCTTTAGTTTTGGTCCCAATGAATGACATGTGATTGCTAATTTTGCTAACTTCCCAATTATATTCGTTGCTTGAGACCAACCGAAAACGTAAGCATGAAATCAAAGAGTGATTTTGTTGCATGGTATTAAGTCAAATTTATTATGAATGACGATAACCCAAAAAATAGCGTACATGCGAAAATACCTGTTGTACTTTAACTTGGCATTGACACAATCCATCAGATGAATTTCCATTACACATCGGGTGCATGTGCCTTCTGAGCGTGGCAGCTATTAATTACATTTGATGCAAAAGACGGAATTCATTTATTCAACTTTGACTTATAATATAATATTTTCAATAAAATTACATTCTTTTATACCTGTTCACCGGAAATGGCCTCCAACAAGCTACTCTTTCCTGCAGATTGGTCATCACAGTTGGAAAATCAACTGCATGATGTGTACCAAGACGTCGTAAACTGTTTAAAATTTCGATATAATGACTGGCTTTTTGAGCATACTGAATGACAGGCTTGAAAGGTCACTTTTTTTCGGTATTCTTTTGTAGCGGTGTGGTAATTATTGCAGTGGAAAAAGAAACAAAATACTTTTGGTTTTATTATATTACGAACCTTTAATCAGATGTGTCGTACTGGCAACTTTTAATATTAAAGAAAATTTTTATTACTGTCGATCTTTATTGCAAAAAAATCACAAAAGTCTCACGAAGATCCCCCAACGCCATCTCCTTCAAGCTCTTCAATAGCGTGAAGGTGGGTTGTTCAGAGCCCCCGACCAGCGGGGGATGCTTCCGCCTGAAATGCAAGTGTTAGTACAGTTATCATATCATGAATTTGATATATATATCAAATTTTGGATTACTTGAATTTCACTTGACAAAAATTGTGGGATAAAAATTAATTATAACAATATGATTGGTTATCTATTAATAACCAAATCTTGTGAGAATACGTAAGTGATGTTGATATACGTAATGATTAACATGAGAATTTTATTACTGTCACGGGGGTAATGTGTGACATAATCATTCTCAGAATTTATCGTTATATCGATATCAATACGTATACATACTGTAATTTGCCGTTTAGAATACCCCGGATATGTTACATTCCACCAGCTAAAATTCGATTTGTACCCGGCTCATGTTTTAATATGAGCCGGAGTGCTCCATTAACAACCCTAAACTTGGGTGATAAGATTTGTTTTGCCGGGTTGATCAAAATTCGTTACCCGGCAGTAGAAAATTCACACGTACGTTCTTATTGATTGGTGGGCACGTGAGGGTGAGAGTCATAACTTGAATTTTATTGTTATTCTGAAGATTTAATATCTTTTGTTATTATCTTTTGACCGTAAAAAAAAAGTAAAAGAAAAAGGTTAGTAAAAGGAAAGGGAGAGGAAGAGTGAGAGTGAGAGAGGAATGGAGGAATGAGAAGGAAGAAGAGGGGAATGAGAACGA